CACACCCTGCACCGCCCCGCTCACCCTGCACCGCCCCGCTCACACCCTGCACCGCCCCGCACACCCTGCACCGCCCCGCACACCCTGCACCGCCCCGCTCACACCCTGCACCGCCCCGCACACACCCTGCACCGCCCCGCTCACACCCTGCACCGCCCCGCTCACACCCTGCACCGCCCCGCACACCCTGCACCGCCCCGCACCGCCCCGCTCACACCTCGCACCGCCACACACCCCGCACACCCCGCACCGCTCTGCTCACACCCCGTACTGCCCCGCACACCCTGCACCGCCCGGCTCACACCCCGCTCCGCCCCGCTCCAGAACACCACGGGGCACTGGGAGGGACCGGGACCCCAGCCCGTTCCCGTTCCGCCCTGGGACGGGACACCGGGGTGCTCCCCAGTGCTCCCTGCTCCATCCCGGGACGGGGCACCGGGAACAGGCACGGCTCCTCTGTGCTCCCTGCTCCACCCTGGGACGCAGCGTCGGGAAGGGGCACGGCTCACTGGTGCTCCTCACTCCATCCCGGGACAGGGCACTGGGGAGGACACCAGTGCTCCTCGACACTCCACAGCACTCCCTGCTCCAGCCCGGATGGGAGGGCACCAGGAGGGACATGGTTCTCACCAGTGCTCCCCATTCCTGCCTGAGAGGGACACAACCCCCCGGTGCTCCCCTCTCCATCCTGGGACAGAGCACTGGGAGGGATCCAGTGCTCCCCATTCCAGCTTGGGATGGGGCAACAGGAAAGACACAGCTCTCCAGTGCTCCTTGCTCTGGACGGGATGGGGCATGGGGAGACACCAGGACACCAGGGCCCCACTGCTCCATCCTGGGATGGGGCACTGGCAGGGCCTGGTTTTCCCCACTCCAGTGTGGGACGAGGCACCAGGAGGGGCACGGCTCCCCAGTGCTCCTTGTTCTGGCCTGACACAGAGCCCCAGTACTCCCCAGTGCTTCCCAGTGCTCCCTGCTCTGGCCCAGAACGGGACACAGAGAGAGACACAGGCCCCCAGTGCCCTGTTGTTGTCCCACCTCTGGCCCTGGATGTTCTGGGGGTCCCCGGGTCTCTGTGCTGGGGGTCTCCATGCTGGGCTGTGTCACAGGAGGAGCAGCAGGAGCCAGGCAGGGGCTGTGGCTCAGCCCTTCATGTGTCCTCAGCAGCCACAGCCAGGGCAGGAACCTTCCAAGAGTCCCAGTGGGTGTTAAACAGGAGCCAGGCACAGGGAGATGGTGCCTGCAGACATTCAGAAGAGCCTGCATTGCTTTTCCTTTCCTTGTCCAGGATCTTGAAAACAGGAATATTTTTACTCCCTTGGCAGTCCTGCATTTTTTCTGCATTAATTAGGAGTAGTAAATAACATCCAGGAGCAGCAAATGCCTCTTGGCACATCCCCTCTGCCCCTTGCAGAGTGCTTCAAGCAGCTCCAGAGACCTCTAGGATGGGGCTACTGAGGTCTCAGACCCTCTGGAAAACACAAGGATTTGTAAGAACTCAGGAACATTTATGGCAGACTGGGAAGGGGACAGAGTGAGGGGCTCTGGGTGCAGGAGGCAGGGGAGCTGCAGCGTGTGCTGCTCCACACAGCCCTTCCCAGCCGGGGTCTGCAGCCAGCCCTGAGCATCAGCCTCATGCAGAGGGGAAAAATGCTCCCCAGGCTCCCTCCCACGCAGCAGCAGCTGTGGAATTTCTTGAGGTTGCAGCAGAGGAAGCCCTGAAGGTTATTTCTTTACAAAACAGACGGTTCACATATTCCTGATTTTCTTTCTGCTAAAAGGTCCAGGGTTTGGCTCAAGTGCGATGCTGCTCGCTGTAGCAAGCAGTTCTACAGCACCTCAGAGACATTCCCCTGGGATCTCACCCACTGCACAACCCAGCAGGACTCTCCAGCCCTGCTCTGGCTGCTTGTGCCACTGGGTTCGTGTACAACAAGGGGAATTTGGTCAGTCAGTCCTTGAGCGCAGACAGCTCATTCCCCCTGTGCCACTCGCTCTGGGAACACTCACTTTATTTGCCAGCCAGGCAGCTGTAGTCAGCAGTTTGTCCAGCTGTTTTTCCTTCCCAGGGCTGCTTTTGATAATTCCAGCCTCTAAGGCCACATTCCCATCTGAAACAGCAGTGGGAATGCTAAATATTGCTTTTAGTGCAGCAGAACAGCACCGTTCGGGTTGTTTCCTTTCATTTCAGCTCTGTGCCCGGCAGCACAGATGCTGAGAAGCATGGCCTGGACTCATGGAAGCCATCCAGATGGTGCCAGTGCCTTTCCCTGTCCCACTACTGGGATGGAGAAATCACCATGGGCCTTGGAGCCAGCACACAGCGCTCTGACTTCACCTCCCTCGGAGAAAAAGCCACACCCCGTGGGTGCAGTGAGGAAGATGGGCAGTGATCCCCAGTAGAGAGCTCATCCCACAGCCACTGCTTCTGCCCTGGTCCCCCTGCACCCCCCTTCTTCAGCAATTAATATTCCTATGACAATTGCATCCATTAATTATGCTGGATGGAGATCCAAGGCAAGTATTGCAGGTGGTGTCTTCTAATGGAAACAGTGGGTACAAAGTGACCTTAAAGTCCCTGGTCCCAAACTGGGAGGCTCACCCTGAGCAGGGGGTACATCAGGAGGGCAGCAATAGGGCTGGAGACTGGTACAGTACTGGGGAACTTGGCTCCAGCACTGGGAGGGCTTGGGTTTTATCAAAGACAAAAATCATCTGCTGGCTCCTCTGCACAGCTGGGTCTGTGAGAACCGTGGCCATTTGGACGTGCCAGGACGTTCCTGGGGGTCCTGGTGCTCCCCCAAGCTGTTTTGGGGACTTTAAGCATGCTTGGCTCTCCCAGGCTCCTTCCCCTCTTCGGAGCCCCTTCCTGTCCCAGGGCACACGGTGAGCACCGGGAGCGCGGCACATGGAGCGGTCCCGGCTCCATTTGACTCTCTGCAAGACACCGTGAGCGTAATTCCCATGACGTGGAGCTGCAGGACGGGCTGTGGGATGGGAGGGCGGGGGACGGAGGCTCTGTCCGGGGCTGGCACGCAGGAGTGAATCGCAGCTTCCAGGCATGCCAGCGGCGTTCGTCAGGGCTCCTGCCGATGGGGAGCAGGCGGGGGAGGAGCTGCTTGAAAAATTGCTATTCACAGAAATAGAAACTTCCTGCAGAAACACGAGTACGTCGGTGACAAAAGCCCAGCTGGGAATTTCTCCCTGGCAGCAGGAGCGGTGGGAGGGGAAGGGGCTGGGGAGCATGAGGGGCTGAGGTGGAGGACTGGGGGTGCTGCCAGGGCCCTGACCACGGCTCTGGGAGAAATCTCTGCTTTTTAGCTGGAAAAAGCATCGCTTGGCTCCATAGTCCCCAAACTGTCTTCAGGAGCAGGACCTGCCAGTGTGGCACTGGTGGGCTCCATGCCCCCCAGGCTGAGATGTTCCCTCCAGCAGCACTTACTTGGCCTCCTGTTTGGATGCTGCAGAGGGTGGGGAGGCCCTGGCACATGTTGTCCAGAGAAGCTGTGGCTGCCCCATCCCTGGAAGTGTCCAAGGCCAGGTTGGACGGGGCTTGGAGCAACCTGGGCTGGTGGAAGGTGTCCCTGCCCATGGCAGGGGTTGGAACTGGATGATTTTTAAGGTCCCTTCCGACCCAAAGCACTCCAGGAGTCTATGATTCCATGCTTCCCCAGCTGATTTCCATGGCAGGGTTGAGCCTATCCCAGCATTTTCTCTGCCTAATCTCTCCAGCCCCCTGAACTTCATCGTTAAGCAGCTATTATTAGTCTCATTTCTTGGCATAGCCAGGAGCTGTGTCAGAACCCACCAGCCTATTTATAGAGCGCTGTGAGCAGCTTTGTTACTTGTGTTAATTAGATTGATCCCTTCTGAAGCAAAGTAAAAGACTTTGAGAGCTCAATGTTGTTTGGGACAACATTCCCAAACTGTGGGGATCCAGGCAGCATCTCAGGCTGCTGGTTGCCCTGACAGTCCTTAACCCTCAGCACCAGGGAAGGTCTGCTCTGCTCAGTCTCCCTCGGGAATTTATGGAGGGGGATGGCACCAACCCTTGCCTGAAGGACTGAGCCCCATGAAACCCTGCAAGAGATGGGATGGAAGGGAAATAAAATAGCTTTTCCTGTCTAAATAGGTTTAAATCTAGATCTATTTTAATCTAGATAGGTTTTAATCTAGATAATACTAGATTTAGATATGCAAAATGTATTTAAAAAAATTGATTAATCCTTTACTATGAAGGAAATGTAGTGAAATGGCATTATCTGGCTTTAAAATCACTGGAATCTCTGAGTCCTTTGAGAGCACTTTCTGTTTGCTTTGGGGCATAATTAGTCCCTACAAAGTTTTTCCCCTCTCATGAAGGCTCTTCTCTTTCCAGATCCCTGTAAGATAACCACAATCAGCTGGGCTCTCACAGTGGGAAAATGCTTATGCTACTGCATGGCAGATCATGTGTTATCAGGGAAGGATTATTTTATCCAAGAACAAGAGATGGGATGGGAAAAAAGCAGCACCCTGGAGCTAAAATAACTTTGGAAAGGCAAAAGTTGTCCCACATTAAAGCCCAGTCCTCACTCAGTCCCTGCCCCTCCTCTGCCACTCCCCAGGAAGGTGGAACTGCACTGAGGTCTCCCCTCAGTCTCCTCTTCTCCAGCTGAACACACCAAGTGCCCTCAGTGTCCTCACACGGCTTCAAACCAAGGCCCTTCAAATTATCCTTGTCCAATGCAGCCCCATTCATGGAGGGAGCTTCTGGATGTGGCCGTGCAGACAGTGACCCCACACCCCTCTTTCAGTGCCCCTGAGCCCACCAAATGCTGCACACCAGCAAAGCCCTGTTTCCTCCTGGCTCCACCATCCCACCAGGACGCCCACGGGAAAAGGCAGCTCCCTGGTGCAGGGCCCTGCAGCTCCCATCAGTCACAGCTCCCCTGGGCTTTTTGTAACTCAACAGATAGAGCTTTGAGAAATGTCACTTCTCTGCACTGCTGCCATCTCTCTCCAATGGCCTGTCAATGTGACACCACCGAGGCTGTGGCTGCCCCATCCCTGGAAGGGTCAAAGGCCAGGTTGGGCCTTGGAGCAACCTGGGCTAGTGGAAGGTGTCCCTGCCCATGGCAGGGGGTGGGATGAGATGAGATGAGCTTTAAGGTCCCTTGCAACCCAACTCATTCTGTGATTTATGATTCTGTGAGGTTGTCTGGAACACCAGGAGACCTTGGTGGATGTGATTTTGTTCCCTGGCTCAGGGGATGCTACAGGAAAGGCCTTCTGCCTGAGCACAGTGCAGAGGCACGGGAGGGATGGGAAGAGCTTTGTGTCCTGGGAAAAGTCTGGGTTTGAGCCCTGAGGGGTGTTTTCCCTCTTCTAGCTGGAAGGCCACCTTCAGCATCAGGTTTTTAAGTGCATCCTTCTGTGGGGCTTCACCTTCCCTGCAAGGGCCATATCCATGCGGGACTCTCCTGGCACATGGTTGGGTGATGGACCCATCAGCCCAGGGTCCTCCTTCCCACGAGTGTGGCGAGGACCATCTCTCCGCCGAGTTTCGGTGTCGCTCCATGGAAACAGCAGCTGCAGGATCTCAGGCTGTCAGCAGATGCCAGCAAAGAGCCGCTCTGCAGCCAGCGGGGGCTGCCGTGGGCTGGGGGTGGCCGGAGCCACCGACCCTCAGCGCTGGGGCACCTTCTGCCCCAACCCACCCATCCAGCTGGGGCACAAACCCCTGCGGGGACCTGGAGGAGCTCGTTGGGGCTTTGCCACCAGCTGAGAACCCCCCACTCAGCTCACAAATTGGAGCACCTGCAGCTGCTGCAAAACTGGTGGCACCAACTAGAGAAATGAGGGACGGGGGTGACCCTCTGGCTCATCTCCCCAGGCACGGCTTTGTGCCTCAAAGCCCCAGGCCAGCCCCCATGGGGGACAGGGGACACGCTGCCCCTGGCCTGGCCACTGCCTGCTCAGCCCGTTGGTTATCAGAGTCACAGAGTGCTTTGGGTTGGGAAAGACCTCAAAAAACATCCAGTCCAACCCCCCTGCCGTGGGCAGGGACCCTTCCACTAGATCATGTTGCTCAAAGTCCCACCCAGCCTGGCCTTGATGTCCCAACAATGGGGCATCCACATCTTTTCTGGGCAACCTGGTCCCGTGTCTCATCAGCCTCGTCGGAAAAAAATTTCCTCTCTATCTGGCTTAAGGGGACACTGGAGAGGAATTCTCACTGCTCGGTTATTCTCTGGGCGCTGGGCTGGCCCCAGCCCGGGATTTTGGGGGGCGGTGTCCAACAGGATCCTCCCACATGCCCTGACTTTCTGCTCAGCACCACGGGCACAAACCCCACCCTCCCTTTAAACCACCTTCCCCTTCCTCACCAGATTCCTCCTCTGAGGTCTCGGGAGGCGCCTGGTGCTCCCTCCCAGCTTGGCAGGCAGCCGTGACACTGCTGCTCCACAACAAGAGCTATTTTTACCCGCTAATGCATGCACGCTCCCCGGCTCAGCCTCCTGCCCTCCCCGTGCCCAGCACCATCCCCGGTTCCTGGCTGAGACCCCGCTGCAGCTGGGACCAGGCTCTGCTTGTGTCCCCAGGCACCCCACGGCCGGGGGGATGCCGGAGGGGCCCCTTCCCTTCATTCGTGTGCATCATTTCTGTGGACCCCATCCACTGCTCCATGAAAAGCTCTTTTTCCGGCCTGACAAGTAGCTGGAACTTGTTTTATAGGAGGATATACACATATAAATGTAGTCTCTCCTATTTCCCTTTTGTCCCCTGCTATTTCCCCCTTCCCCATGGGCTTTTCAGGTCTCTCAAGTGAGTTCAGGGCTGCCCAGGGGATCAGCACTGCCCCTTTGCCAGGTCTTTTTGACGGTCAGGGAAGGGAGTTGGACCTAGAAAAGCCTCAGTTCCTTGGACTCGAGGGCCAGGCAGGGTCTGTGAGCACTCCCCATCCTTTCCCAGGCTGCTGGACCCCTTGTGTCTCAAGGGGATCCACCACAGCCCCAAGCCCTGGGGTGCTGCAGCCACAGGACACACACTGCCCATTTCAGTGCTGCTTTTAAGGGCTCCCTAAACCAAGCATCAGGGCTCCAGGAAGGCTGAGCATGGGGGTCCCTCTGTATTCCAGGGTGAATGCTCCAGGCACGAGCCCTCAGGGGATTTGTACAGAGACCAGAGGGGCTGCAGAAGGGGAATGGGGGGCATCACCCCTGCTGTGAGCTCTCCATCCAGGTCAAGGCATTTCCAAAGGAGCCCCCCAGCACGAGAGGGAAGCCAGGGGAAGGACACCCTGAACATCGCCTGCTGCCCCAGGCTGGCCCCTGCTCACCTCTGATACAGCCCTTTGCTCCTCTCCAAAGGGAGGTTTTAATTTACCCTCTTGGCTGGCGAAACCCTATCCCGAGCAATTCCCCAGCCGTTCCTCCGAATCGCAGTAACTACCTCATTACTTTGATATTAATAGAATTCATATGGCCTGGAGAAGATAATTGAAATTAGCCCCGCGGCAAGGGGGAGCAGAGGGGGTGGTCTGTGCCAGCCCTGACCCCCAGCCGGATCCTGGCCTCCAGAGCGGGTCCTGGGACCAGCAGTGCCCACAGGGCTGCAGCTCTGCCAGTTCCAGTCCCAGGGACGAAGTATTGCCTGCGGCTTGCCCACTGGTACCAGAAGTGGGAAGCAGGATGGAGCCCATCCCAGCGTCCATCGGGTTTCTCTGAGTCAGATCGGGAGGATGCCCGGCCAGACCCTGCCCCTGCTCTCAAGCCACTGACCCTCTTGTTGTCCCTTGCCTTGTCCCCTGCTCCAGGCCAGGTCATCCAGCAACCCCCACCAGCACCACGGGGCCATTCCCATCTTTTCGGGGTGGGAAAAGAAAAAAAAAAAAAGTTCATTATGTGCAGAGGCACAAAGGCAGCCCTGTGAACGGCTGTCTCAGGCCGTGCTGGGCCCGCAGCCGGCGGGACCATGACGGAGCCGTCCCGCTGCCCCTCCGGCCCCGGGTCCCTCTGGCTCCCACCCCACCTGCTCCCCGTCAGATGGGAGGTGACCCCGACAAAGGCCGGGGCAGCGTCTGCCACCCTTGGGCTTTGCCCTGACACGTGTCTCCTTAACCTCTTCCTTGGGACCAGCTGCTACCAGGGGACCCTCCTTTGTGGCCCCGGCGAGTGGCAGACGAGTCTCCCCATCTGGCCGGCGAGGCCTCGTCTGTTAGAGACCCCCTGCCCCGGCTTATAACGGCATTAACCTCCCCCTGCACCCTGCCCCGCTCCCACCCCCTCAACTGTCACCAGGTCCCCATGGGGACATCGGCTTAGGGACAGACTGCACCCCACAGGGCCTTGTCACATCACTCACCCACCCCTGGCACCTCACAGGCACCCAGGGACCCCTGCCTGCACCCTGACCCTGCCTGTGGATATCCCTGCCTGTGGATATCCCTGCCTGCACCCTGACCCTGCCTGTGGATATCCCTGCCTGCACCTCTGACCCTGTCTGTGGATATCCCTGCCTGCACCTCCTGCCTTGTCTGTCTGCACAGATAAGGCAGGACAAGGCAGGATGAGGAATTTGCCTCCGGGGGCTTCAAAGGATCCCTGCACACCTGTGGCTGCAGGTGGGCTCAGTCCAGCCTTGCCTCCTGCAGCACTGGGGCTCAGGACCAGGAGCCCCGGCATGGGGTCTCCATGCCAACCCACTGCCACTCCGTGTCTTTGCCACTTGTTTGGTCCAGCACTGAGCTCCTGTGGGAGCTGGGGAATGCTGGGGCACCCCAGGATGCCTGGCAGGCACAGGACAATCGGTGATGGGATGAGAGGAGCAGCAGTGTGTGGGGTCAGGTCCTGGAGCAGGTTAGGTGAAGGAACAGGATAGTGACAGGATTAATTAGGTGAAGGAGCCAAGGTGGAGGCTGGCATTGCCTGACTGCCTGGCCAGGCCATGAAGAGGAGAGACCCCCACCACCACCACCACCTCCCTCCCCAGCCATCCCCCAGGAGGCCTTATCTGCTGCTAATGCTTTGCAGGAGCCTCCCTCCCCAAAGCTTGTGGGCTTGGCAAGACGCTCTGAGCCTGCATTTGCTCCAAATGGATTGTATCAGGGGGAGAACAAAGCACTGGAGACTTTTCAAAGCGAAGTTGCGATTGCAGCCCACGGGGGAGGCAGCGGGTCCCCTCTGGCATTACCTCACTGGGGACTCAGTGGGGTCCAGGCCCAGCCCCAAAACCCACCAGGCAGCGGCTAGTGACCCTCAGTTCTCCCTCCCAGCTCTGGCTGTGCCATCCCTGGGAGTGCTGGCCAGGCAGGGGTCATTCAAGAAGTGCTGGCCAGAAGACAATGGCTCCATTTTCACCAAAAAATGTTCTGCTGCAAAAATCTGGCCTTGCTCCAGCTGCAAATGAAAAAATTAGTTTGGCCTTTTTTATTTTTTTCTTTCCCTGCTGCAAAGTTTCTTGGAAAGCTGGTGTGGGGCAGGCTCTGGAGCAAACACTGGCTGTGGCACCATGCCCTTGCCTGCTTCTCTCCCCATCCCTGGTGCAGGCAGCTCCAGGCAGCACAGCTGGCAGAACATGG